AGATCTGGGACACGATACAATTCTACGTAACTGCATTCACCGTTCTTAGCTTTTTGTGGTTTGAACGTTATCTCGGTTTTGCGAGTACTATTTTTGAACAGCAAGCTGAAAACATGTGCAAATGGGAATCACTGCCAATAACAGAATGTTTCACATTACATAGATATTTAAAAAAATTGACAGTTATAAACTAAAAAGAGCGGATGGAACACTGTGTCAAGTAATGGAGTTATTTTTGCTCGGGTGTTTTGTTTATTAGGGCAATATCGACCTGTCAACAAACATTTGTCGCAAATTTTTTTTATGCAGTCTGAAAAATATTGAGTTCTTGAGCTCAAATGTAAAAAAGAATTTTTTTATTTCATCAATTTCTGAAATACTTAGTTTGTTTGAAAGTTTTTCCATGGGGCCAATTCAAGATAATCAATTTGAACAATTTTTTCAGTATAATCAATTTGAAAAACTCAAGCTTTTTCACCAATCAAGATTTCATTATTTTATTTTAACGTAAAAGCAGTGAATCACAACTGAAATTCAAATAAGTGTGAGGGACTGGAAAAGAGAAATTTAGAGAACTTATCTGATCACAATTTTATAATAGAACACAGAATTTTAGTTTTTTTTATATCTAACGTTTTTGTCTTTTTCTTATACTAGAACAAAATCATCCCAAATTATTCTTTCTTATCATTTAAAAAAGCTTCAACGAGTTACAGGAGCAGATCTAGGATTTCTCGAGGGAGGGGGCGGATTTTCAAAAATTGCGAAAATTTTGCCTACCTTTTTTTAGGTCGACCAAATTGATTTTCTGAGCTCTCCTAAATCACCATAAAGACCCCATGTTTTCAAAATTTTTTCTGCGTCGGCCTTAGGCAAAATTAAAAAAAAAACAGGCCAAAAAAGCCGTTTATGAGCAATTTTTTTGAAAATTTTGACCAAAAAACAGCGTTTTTTTGGCGCGCACTCCCCCTCAAAATTAGTATATATTGGCGTATATATTGGCACCAAAAATGGATATCCAAAAATAGTGTAAAGGGGGACCCTTTTGGTCGGCAGGGGGTCGAATTCCTGAGGGGGAGAGGGCGTGCACCTCCTCCACCTCCCTAAATCCGCTGGTGACATTACATCAAATGTTTTATAGGACAGCCATTTCCAACTTTGTCTTGATACAACCAGTCTTGTTAATTCTTCTAAGCTATGATATCTTACCGAATCAAAAATCTGATAGCTTCATGCTCCGTGTTGTGGACGAATAATCATTTAAAGTTCTGCTCAGATCTTAACATGCTGTCCACTTTTTTGTAAAACTTTCTTTTTCAAGGGCTGAACATTATTCTTATACAGCAAAATCATTACGACTAAATGTTATTTTCGTGGCGTTAAACATGCTAAAATTGGACTCTTATGCTAAATTTTTGACATAGCTATTTTTAAATATACAAGTCTAAGCCGCCAAAACTAGAAAAAGGATTGGTGCTCGAACGAGAGTTGAATAAAATTCAATAACTGCTAGACAGTAAGAGCGTCATCAAACCATGGTTTCAAACTTATCGAGAAAAACAAAAAGACAGAGGCTATGTATGCTTTTATAACTCAAAAAATAGTAGCATCAGTAGTTTAAGATTTTCAACTGCGTCACAATAAACGAATCTTTGAGTTTATGCGATCCAGAAAGCACTTTTCTCGACAAAATGGTTTGTTTTTTTTTTTAATCAATTTACTTTCTGTGCCCCATCATTTTTATATCTAATATTTAACTAAGACACAGGTTTTAAGCTGTGAAAAAAGTTCGTTGACAAATCTTTTCGTATGAAAATACAAAAGGGAAGGCAATTTGGCCAGTGAGGGAATTGATTTCGTCCGACCAGGCCCACCCCTAAAGGCTAAGACTAAAGCCATTTCTGGTCCAATTGGTAATTTTCGGGCAATTACTCTCGCCCTCGTTTAGCACGTCAGACTTGTTGAATTTTTCGGATTTACAGTTTTCATTACATTCATACTGAATTTTGATTTAATTTAGATCTCCAAACCTCTTCTGATACTTCTTGGGACCTTTTCGGTTTTTGTGGCTGTCGGCCAAGCGGGTGGCTCATACTACTGTTTTAATGATCAAGATTGTATAACTCAGAATGCTCTGTACGGTGGGGAAAACGAAAAGTGTTGCTCAGATGACCAATGTCACGAGGACTGCGCCTGGTTAGTCAACATGGTTTAAGAGCAGAAAGGGCCCAAGAGCTTAAAAATAAAAACAGACAAATAATGAATTATTCGGACTAGTCTTTAAAATCATTATTATAATCAAAACTACGGATCATACATTATACAGAATTAAAATTTCAATTTAATACGTGGCTATAGGGAGAAATTCTGCGGTTGGGGGGGGGGGGGGGGGGGGGATGTTGATTCAAAACTACAAATGAATGAAATAAAATATGCATAATTTGCGTAATGTTGGCAAGTTTTTCTGTATAATTTTTTTAAAGAAATGACGTTGATTAATTTTCTCGATTTGGGTATAATTCATTGATTTCTTTGGTAATAATGACAATTCTAATACTTGCTTTCTCGATTGGCCTTTAAAATCAATTTGCTGTTTTTCTGCTCTTAGACCTTTTCTGCAATGTTAGATTATTCAGTTTAAACCTCTGCCTTCGAAAATTATGAGTTAAAAACACTAAAAAGTGATTGAAATGCTCTGACTGATTTAGGGAAGTGTGGGGGTTCCTGTTTTTCTTCCTTTTTCTGCCTTGTTGTGGATTTATTTGCTGTGCTGCACTCATCGGGGGCATTGTCTACTGCTGCGTCAAAATGGGTATGGCCTCTTTTCGTTCTCGCTCCTCAACGCTCAAAAAACACATGTTTTTACCATAAAGCATAAGCGGTACAAGGACATGTACGGAGACATAATTTTGTTGCAATTATACCTATGCAATCTGGGTATTCTGTTCAACTTGTTTTCCCTCCAACTACGCAACAGAGAGTTTTTACTCGTAAGTTTTCATTCATGGATAGGGGCATTGCCTTTTAAAGCACCTACCCATGACTTACTTTGACTTTTTGAAGAGATTATTGATACCTGCTCTCTCTTCAATCTCGTTGCTGAATTCATCCATAATCTTCAACACTTTTTGACGACATCAGTTTGGGCGACAACATATTTATCTAAAGCAGGCTCTTTCGGCGCTAATATGCACTAATTTGGTGGAAATATCGCGAAAACTAACCGCAAATTATGTTCGAACCCTTCATCAATTGCAACGACTAACTTGCAAAATTTCGTTAAAAGCTCCAATAAATTGATGTACATTTCTTTTTATTTCATTTCAGCCAACAAAGATAGTCAAAATGTGCACCCTGTTCCGGTAGTCCACTACAGCAGTGGGTTCCAGTCGCAGCCTGCCTATGCCAGCCCACCTCCCTACAATTTCAATCAGACACAGCCCCCTAACAACTACCCTACCCAGCCTCAGTCGCAGCCTCAGAGCTCGAGCCAAGCTGCGCCTCCTCCTCCGCCTCCTCCCGCAGACCATCCCGACTTCCAGAAGGGTCATTTGAACCATGGATTCGTACAGCCATAGCTTATAAGGCTGCATATAAAAAGAAAATGTTACAAATCAAGCGATCTAGAGAAATGAGTTGAATCTTCAGAACTCAATTATAATGTTTGTGCATTTCTATTTTGATGAACAATATATTTTTTTTGCAAAAATTGAATCCAAGCAACTTATTCCATACCTCAACAAAAGCAAATTAGTCGCTAAAATACCACAAGTTGCCAAAATATGATAACGGTTATTAATAATAATAATAATAATAAATTGTTTGCAAATTAGATTCCACTACATTTACAAACAAACGAAATCACATTGCGAGAACGCCGTGGAACTATGCAGCCCGTTTTCAGGCGCCTCTGATCCTGCTATGGCTTCTGTTATTTTTAAATATCGATAGTTTATCAAGAAATCAAAAAAAAAGATTTAATGATTTAAAGAAGAAAAAAAATTTTTGAAGCGAAAAAAGGGGAAAATTTCAGCAGTATACCTACCCTTGACAGCAAATCTTTTTTTCTAAATACTAATTCTACTCAAAAATGAGTTTAAACAGTTGATAATTTCCTAGAATAAAACTGTCCAAAAACTCATGGTTGAAGATTTTTAATTGATATTGTGTGCAGCTCTGAATCTTGGTAGTATTTTAGAACAAAGTTGAAAAGTTTTCTAAATCTAACGTTTCTAATTAACTGAAACAATTCGTAATTCGATGATGTATGGTTAAGTCACTGGAATAAAAATGGGTTTCCTTAAAAACCAAAAAGCAGAATCAAAAGAAGCAACTAGTTGCTGATCAGTTGTACAAAACATGTCAGCTACTGTTTTTATTGGAAGGGGCGAGGGATCTCTTATCGGTTACACAGCCTGCGGTTTTTATATTCTTCACCATGGCTCACGTAACTAATTGAAATGAAGCAGCCATGCTAATTTTATGGTACCGCGACAACTCGCAACAAAAGACAGCTCGGAAAAATTAAGGAAAGCGCAAGATTTTGAAGCTAATTGAAAACTTTATTTTCTCGGTTTAAGGTCGCCGGCGATAACCGGCTCTAAACTTCGAATAAAACCTACCCTCTGTTGGCAAAATCGCAGCATGTTGGCGCGACTGCGGCGATGAGTACACTGCGAGCTGTCTTTTAATCCAAGTTGTCTTTTCTTGCGAGTTGTCGCATTACGTAATTTTATCACTCAATTCAAACACATTTGTCTTCATATGAAGACAGAGTGTCATAATAACAACTGATACCATATCACAGCAAAACCCTAAATTTTCAGACTGTCCTTTAGGTCTCGAGATTTTTTGGCTAAAAAATTTGAGAAAGCATAAAATTAGGGCAGCCAGAGTCGGTAAAAAATGTCGAGTAAAATAATAGATAATATCAAAAAATTGATGTTTCTATCTGTGTGGGAACGGTTATTGAGAAAATGGTCGGATATCCAAAAAAAACTAATTGAAAATTCGCTCTAACTATGAAAAACATTCAACATATATGCTTGAGCTTTTTGCTTACCGAAAACCAATTTTGACAATCAAATTATTAGTTTAAACAAATTTTTTACAGCTCAACGAAGAAAATGACAACATGGTCTTCGAAACAATTTTTCCGTCTGTGTTCATTTTTTGTCAATTTACGTTAGTTGGAAAATGGCCAATTTAGCCAATCTTAGCACTAATTTATGCGTTGTTTGAAAATTATAATTTAATGATGCTGAAAAAAAATAGTGAAGTTAATGATGCTGAGTTTACGATGAAAAATATGATCAGATGAAATTTTGGATTTAGCTGGGATATAGTATCAGTTGTTAATGATTCTGAGATCATTTTGCAGAGTTTTTTTCTCACCTTTGTGTATTGTAGTATATGTATAAGTGTTTGTGAATAAGTTGAGAAATTAGGGTTGTGTAAAAGTTGCCTGAACTTCCAATTAAACCTGCCTAAAGAAATTTGACCTTCAAAAAGTGATTTTTCGTTTTTGTAATCACATTTATTTCTCCTATCAGAAAACCTAAAGTTCAACAGAACTTAGTCTAAAACTCAACAAGACTATTTTTATCAGGGCAAAGACCTTTTGTTTCTACTGCTTTTTAAGGTTTATGAAATAGTATTAACATGAAAAAACTAAATTTAATGAAAAAAAAAGAAAATCTTTCCCTTTTAAAATTGAGATTTTTTGTTAAAAAAATCATCACCCTTCCTGACATATAAAAAAGAAAGTGACATATTTTGCTCCCAGTATCAAATAATTTATGCCAAAATAAGCTTCCTTCTAGGACGGATTGATAACGCATAAAATATCGAGCATTAATTGTCCCAAATTGGCCGAAACGACCATTTTTAAACCCCTATAACTTTACGAAAAATGATCAAAAGTGAAAAAAATTAATAAATTTAAGCTGTAATTAAAGTTTTCTTAGTGATTTGGGAGAGCTCAAAATTCAAATTTGGTCGATCTTTAAAAATAGGTAGGCAAAGTTTTCGTTTTTCTTTTCGAAAGACCGCCCCTCCCTTCATGAAAACCCTAGATCCGCACCTGGTTATAAAAGATTTTTCTAGAAATCCGTGAACAGTGTTGAAGAGATACTCTCTGATGTTGATCATAGAAAGAGACACTAATTTTGCTTAATAATTCTTTATCAGTTGATCAGAGCAATACTAACAAATCCGAGTTTTTCTATAAAATTGAAGTAAAAGTGGTTAAACTTGAATAGGGGGACTTGAGTAATTTTTCTAGGACGCTCATTTTTGTGAGTTAAAATATTTTACAATACCTAGAGTTATTTTTGTTTCTGAGTCGAAACTCTGAAACTTTTTCCAAGAAGTGTACAGGTGCTGACTATTGTAGCCTACGATTAGAAATTTGCAATCAACGCTTTTTTGGTGCCATTATATCAGTAAGTTCTGAGAAGTCTGATCTAAACAACAAATCGTAATTTGGCATTTCGGCTAGTTTTGGACTGTAATTCTTGAAGCGTGTGAGCTTTAATATAAATATTTCTCTTTCTGTTTCGACTTTCAAAGAAACTGAAGAATCTATATGCCCGGATCAATTTTTTCAATCAGACCGATTTTGCGTATGGGCATCAATCTGGCAATCAAGGGTGCGCCAAGCGAGTATGTTTCACTAGACCAAAGCTCGGCCTTGCCACTGAAAAAACACTTTGAGAATCAGCTTCAAAAAGCCAATTATTTATGCGTGTCAAGTTAACCGCACTCATAATCGTTCTACATTTGAATTGAGGCAAGCTATTTGGTCTTATTAGTACTACTTTCGTAACGAAAGTAACGCAATGTTTGTGCTCGGGTGGTTTTTTTCTTCAGACAAATATCGACTGTTTTACTGGCAATATTTGATGGAAGTTTTTTTATATCATTCAAAAGAGCAATCGAATTCAATGAACAGCCGGTTTTAATTTTCTCGCTTACGCTTTCAACCAACACAAAAAATTGAAACTTTAAAAATGACGTCTGAATTTATTTCAAAGTTTGAAACGGTAAAAGATTCCCTTGATTCTAAAACGAAGGACTTATTTGAAAGCCTCGTTATCTGCCTGCAGGGAAAAGACTCTGAAATTAGGAACCTATCAAATCGTGTGAATTATCTTGAAGTTAAAGTTAACGAATTGGAGAGATATTCGTCTAAAGACTGCGTTATAATTCAAAACTTACCAATGCTTCATGGAAACATTATTCGGGATGTACTGGATTTATTCAACAATATTTTGGGACTTGATGTATCGGATTACGATTTGAAGGCGTGTCATCCCCTGGGTATCGTGAGTAGGAACCAGAAAACGTCTGTGATTGTAAAATTTGTGTATTTTGAGACAAAAAATAGTTTACGGGAAAATTTTTTTTTTGAAAAATGTATTCAACCCGGTGAATAAAGAACCTGTTTATATTACGGAACAGTTGACAAAACGAGACTCTGATTTTTTCGACTACTCTAGATGGCTGGGAATGTATACTATGACGTATAATTGTATCCCCCAAGTTCTTATTGCAAATGATAATGGTGGTTTCCGCAGACATAATCTTATAGATGAAAAAGATGCTGATGAAATATTCGCGCGAAAAAATCGTTTACTTCTAAAATCGAATGCTCGGGGAATCAATTCTACTGTAAGACCGCAATTTAATATTACAAAATCTGGACAAAACACTCTTCTTGGAAAAACTCGCGATGATTCTCTGAAAAGAGGTTGACAAATATCACCAGATCTGGACAATAAACAACTTATGACTGAACTTGCTCAATATACATCTGATCCAGTTGGGTTATTCAATTACATTCAAACTTTACAGAGGGACTCTTTTGATGCTAAACAAGTCTACCATGGGAATAAAAACGACGTCATGGAAACTATGCATAGTAGTGTTGCGTTACCAAGCATTGACACTATATCAAACTAATCCACTTTAGTTTCTTTTGATTTGCCGTATTCTGGTTTCCCGGTTAACCTAGTAGCACTCAAAATAGAAGGGAAAATGGTGAAAGAAAACGTATTTTTTACGAATGTTCGATCATTGCGGAGCCATTATGACCAACTTTCGATACCTGTTGCTTCACTAATTAAAGTGCCAATGATTTTAGCACTTTGTGAGACATGGCTTACAGACAATGACCCAACTATTCTCTACAGTATTGACGGCTTTTCAAAAATTGAAAATGTAAACAGAAAAAATAAGAAAGGAGGGGGATTAACTTTTTTTGGGCGGAATGATTTTGATTTCAAAACACGAGTTTTTGATAATCCACTGGAGCACTTTGTAAAGTGCCAATGATTTTAGCACTTTGTGAGACATGGCTTACAGACAATGACCCAACTATTCTCTACAGTATTGACGGCTTTTCAAAAATTGAAAATGTAAACAGAAAAAATAAGAAAGGAGGGGGATTAGCTTTTTTTGGGCGGAATGGTTTTGATTTCAAAACACGAGTTTTTTATAATCCACTGGAGCACTTTGTAATTAGTATTATTGATAACAACGCAATTTTATATAATTTTTGAGTAATTTATAGAGCGCCATCAACTAATTTGCTTGATTTTTGGCTAAATTTTGATATGCTGCTGAATGAACTCAAATCGTTGAAAGGAGAGCTATGCATCATGGGAGATTTTAACATTGACATACTTACTTCAGGAGCAACTAGTCTACAAAAAACCTATCGTGATTTATTAGCTTATTTTGACCTGGAAGTGCAAAATAGTGAAGCAACAAGAGTACCTTTAAACAGTAAAACATGTATCGATCATATCATTTCACCAACAAAGGTTGAAGTTAATACAATTTGTTGCAATGTCAGTGACCATTATGCGCTTCTGACTGAGGTCCAAATTAACAGCAAACAAACCGTAATAGACCAGCAAAAGCTAAAATTGCAAAATATTGAGAAATTGAAAAATTCGAATAAAATTGTGAATTTTCTGTTTTTATTACAACACAAACTGCAGAAACTTCCTTTATTCAGTTCAACGTGCAATGAAAACCTTTTAAGAATTTCTGAAATTATGCTTGATACTTTCGATGTTTTTGCGCCATTACACTATCGTGTCATTAAAAAATCGTCTTGAGTGAATAGTTGTTTGAAAAATTTATGCCGATATCGCGATTACTTACATTAAAAAAATGGTAGAGATCCCCAGTAAACAAAATCAGTTAAATTACAAAAAAGTACGGGACGAAGTGAAAAAAAGGGTCAGGGAAAATAAAAGACAATACTTCGATAAACATTTTTCTAAATGCAATGATAGCAAACAAATGTTTCCAATTTTTAACATTTTTTGCGGAAAAAAAAGAAAGGACACGATCGAATTGACATCAGACGAACTTAATGATTTTTTTGTTAACATTGGCTCAAAATTAGCAAATATAAGTCGTATAAGTCGAGTCTTAAATAGGTGCATTTTCCGACCTGCTGATGTTAATGAAATTGAGAACATTATACTTGCTCTTAAAAACAAGAAAACATGTGGTCATGATGGTTTCAGCAATGAGATGATTAAGTTGTGCTCACCAGTCATCAGTCCTTATTTGGTTCAATGCTTCAACACTTGTATAGACGAAGGCGTATTTCCAGAATTTTTAAAAAATGCTAAAGTTATCCCTCTGCATAAGTCTGGTTCTAAAAAGGATGCAAATAATTATCGTCCCATAAGTCTTCTAACTTCGTTTAACAAAATTTTTGAAAAAATGATTTTTAATAGAATGATCTGTTTCATTGAAAAGTATGGACTACTTGCAAAACAACAGTATGGTTTTCGTAAAGACTAATATTAAAATAACAGATTTCATGCGTAACACTGTTGACAAAAAATGTTATGGTTTAGCATTATATGTTGGTTTTAAAAAAGCGTTTGATACAGTTGACCATGCTATACTCCTAGATAAATTAGATCGATTGGGTTTTAGAGGAAAATTTCATTTACTTTTGAAAGACTATCTCTCCAAAAGGTATCAATATGTTGTAACAAACGGAAAACAATCCAAAATGCTTGAAATTAAATACTTGGACCTCTCCTTTTTCTTTTATATATTAATGATTTTCCTGATTTTCTTAGAACTAGTGAGGTGGCCCTTTTCGCAGATGACACAACAATTTTAAATTCGTCAAAAAATTCAAATTTTGTCGAACAGTTTTGTGATGATGTAAAGCGTATAGATGACTGGTGTGCCAACAATAATATAACTGTGCATCCGTCGAAGTGTAAACTTCTGCAATTTGGTAAAAAGCATATTGTATTGAAAGAGATCAAATTAGGTGATGAAAAATTGGACTATACGACCAACTTTAAATATCTTGGAGTCTTGCTTGACTGTGAACTCAACTTCAGTGATCAAATTGAAAGTGTGTGTACTAAGCTAAGGAAGTTTAACGGAATCATGTATCGTGCACGAACCTGTTTTTCTAAATATCATCTTTTACGTTCTTATTCTGCTTATATCATTCCAATTATGTCTTACGGACTCATAGCATATGGGTGTGGCGCAAAAAGTAATATGGATAAAATTTATTTATAACAGAAGAAGATTTTGAGGACTATATTTTTTAAACGTAAATACGAAGATATTACGAACGTGTTCATCGAATATAATATTTACACCGTTTTTGATTTATTTATTTTTTCAGATTTTTCACGAAACCTTTCGACAACTAAGAAATGAGTCACCTTTGAAATTCTTGATTAGAGATAAATCTTCAACCATGAAAACGCGATCTAAATCTAAGGGTTTGTTAATTTTGCCAGTTCTTAGGACTACGAAAATGAAAAATTCTGTTTCTTTGATAGTCATCAATGCGTATAATTTTTTGATTGATATTAAACTAATCCCTAATAACCCTAGCGTAATGACTGAAGTTGGGTTCAAGTCTTTCTTTAAAAAATTCAGTAGGCTTTACATAATAGACAATGAAAGTATGTTTTCGCTGTTTTACCAGCGGTAACTCCTAATTTCAGTGCCCTACCGTTTGTTTCTAGGTAACCTAAAGGGATGCTACTCGAAAGGTTGAATTACCTGTATAGCAGTCCTGATGTAGATTTATTTAACCTGTTTGATCAAAATGATGTGTGTCAAAGTTACATCTGCATCAATTTCAAATTCAAATTCAAAAGATATTATCGTCTAGAGCTTAAACTTAAAAAGATATTTTACTTTCTATGATTTTTTGTGAAGTTATGGGGGTTTAAAATTGCCTTTTTGGCCATAAATTTGGCCATAAATTTTGCGTTATTAACGCGTAAGCACAGAGCTAATCTGTCTTAGAATCGTTCTAAATTAGCTGAAGGAAGCTTATTTGCCATAATTGACTTATTACTAGCATGAAAATTTATCGTTTGTACTTCATATGGCGAGTGGGGGATGATTTTCAAAATCGTTTTTTCTTTTTATTTTTTTACATTCTATTTTTCATGTTATTACTGCTCCCTAGACCTTAAAAGGCAGTCGAAACATTCAAGGCTTCGCCCTGATACGAGCAAAATTGTTATTGAGGCTAATTAATTACATCCCTTTGAGTTTAACATAGCGAGTGAAGGCGTAATTTCAAAAAAATAGCATGGAAAATTCAATTTAAAAAAAATCTTCGAAACTTTATGAATTATTGAACTTTCCCAAAAATGCTTAGTTCTTTGGACTTGAAATGAAGGCTAAAAATTGATATGAGAAGTTTTGTCTTTTTTTTGCCCCCGATCTTTTCTTTCGGGATCGCACATCAGTTGCAAAGTTATAATGAGATCAGCAAACAGTCAAAATTGGGCTTTAATTTTTTTTATAAAAGCAGTCAAAGTTAAGTTTGCGCGTTAGCAGCCAAATATCTCGCAGGTTAAAAAATTCCAAGTTAGCCGGATTACCCACAATAAAGTTCCACAGATAATAATCGATTATATTGCGTTTTCAGTTTTTTATGGCCTGTCCTTGTAAAATTCTAAAATTATCGATTGTAATGGGTTATAATCGATTTTAAAACAAATGAAGTAAAAGTCAATCTAAGCAAATATAATGGATTATAGTGGATGATAATGAAATAAAATAGATTCTAATGAGTAGGAGCCTAAGTTTTTCAAAACCTTGAAAGTAAATATTCAAAAATAAACGTTGCAAAATTGAAAAACTTGTAGAATTTTTAATCAAAAGCAAGAAGCAAAAGCTTGCGGTTATTAATGAGCTTCTTGTGGTCAATTTTTTTCAACAAATCTGTTGCTTAAATTTGTTAGGAGCAATTAATTCCAAATCTTGTGCACATGCTTTCGTTTCTGACACAATGTTAGAATAAGAAATTGATAGAAAACGTTTAAATTACAAAGAAAACTTGAAAATTATGCCATTTGGAAAAGTTTCAATTTTATGCCATTTGGGAATTATGCCATTTGGGAAGTTACCGAAACGATTCACCAAAATTTTATATTGTTAAAAACTTGTTGGATTTTCACACTAGCTGAAAAATATAGGATCATCATTCATACTACTTTTATTCAGCGTGTTAAAAAACTCAAAATTTACATAAGAGATGTTTTGTTATGAGGCATGTAGTATGTTGAACTTAGACATGCTCTTTGTTGCGTTCAAAAGTTTTTTATACATATATACTCGAAATATATCACTTTGTACATAACATAGCGTGCGGGTGATTTTTAAGTTTTTTTCTTGAAAATTTTATCCATTTCTTAAAATTGAACACTGCTATATAGACCATTTGGAAAAGGCGGGCATTGTTGTTGTTCCGATTTTCGATACGAAAGTAACGGAATATTTGTGCTCGGGGTGGGTTTTTTTTTCTTCAGACAAATGTCGACTTTTTAACTAGCCATTTTTGACGAAATTTTTTTATATCATTCGAAAGCTATTGTTGTCCTGAGCTTAAATTTGAAAATATATTTTTACCTGTGATCATTTTTCATAAAGTTATGGGGGTTTAAAGACTGCCATTTTGGCCAATTTGGGACAATTAACGCGCGATAAATTTCGCGCTTTTAACGCGTAAGCGAGATTTAATCCGTTTTAGAAATCGTTCCAAATTGGTTCAAGGATGATTTTATGCCATAATCGATTTGTTAATAGGCGCAAAATCTATCACTTTGTACGTAATATGACGTGTGGGGGGATGTTTTTACATAAAATCTCAAATTTTTTCAAAATTTTTTTAAAATTTTTTTCTATTACATTGAAATTTTTCATGTTATTAATGCTCCATAGACCTTAAAAGGCAGTCGGAACATTCAGGGCTTCGCCCTGATACGAGCAGTCTTGTTTGTTTTACTGTTTACTCTGTTCGTTCGGAGCAAAACGTCAACCACTGTTGCAATAAAGAGGTTTAGAGCCTGAGTTTGAGCGCGGCTATTTATGAAAAAGCTCTTTTTTTAACGGTAAAGTGACTGTTCAATACAGAAGACCAACAAGCTTACATAGCAGTTCTTCATTTCATTTTCATATGTTACCATCGGTTTTTTAGCCTTCTTTTGATGTATTTTAGTCATGTATTTTTGATGTTACGTAAAACATATAGATAGCAGAACATGGTTTATGAAGTATTCAGTAAGTCAGAACGTCATCAAACCATGCCTTTTTTGAAAATATGTAATTCTTATTTTTTAATTCTATGATCATGCAAACATATTTATTGGATTCTTTAACTGCGTCACAACCAAACTTTTGGCTTTTATGCGGTCTGAATTAAAATCTTTCTCGACGAAATGGTTCGTTACTCTAAGTTACATTTTCCTATCTAATTTCATTATCTTTGACAAAACATTAAAAAACATCATGCCAAAAAGATTGGTCTGTTAAGAACTTAAAATTTTTTTATCAGTACTGTGTAATATATGCAATTAGCCAACTACAACGTACTTGATTGAATTTTGAAACATTCGCAACATTCAAAATTGAAACTTTTCTTGAAAAACATTTGAAGTTTTGTTTAAAACCTGAAAAAGCTCATTGATCGTTCAAAGATAATATTTAAATGTATGGCCAAAAACTCTAGTCATACATAAAAAAAAGATGCTGTACTGATTTTCAGCGTGCCAAACGTATTGACTATCAGTGCATATTGAGATATTTCAAAACAGACTGTGATCATTTTGATTCGATTTTAGATCTTCAAACCTCTTCTGGTTCTTGGGGTCTTATCGACCTTTATGTCTGTTGCCCTAGCGGGCAGTTCGTATTTGTGCACCGAAGATGTCCACTGTCAAACTCAGGTTGCTTTGAACGGGGGTGGGGAGAATGTCGAGTGCTGTTCAGATGACAAATGTCACCCAAACTGCAACTGGTTAGTTCACATGATTGATACCCGTCTCCAATACTCATTTCCCGAATACTCGAGCTATAAACCGGTCTAAACAAAAACCCTGAAAAGCACCCGCAAACTCACATTGAGCGATCTGTCATATATTTTTGCTCTCCAGAAACCGATCTCAAAAGACGATTCTGTTAACTAATTCCATGACTGTTAACTAATTGACAAACTTATAAGATGCAATAGTAGAGATTAAAAATGAGATAAAATGAGATGCAATAGTGGAGATTAAAAATTGGGTCTTTGTGATTAACTTTAAGACAACGATGATTTATCCATAATAAACCGACCACCCGACCAAGATACACGCTTTTGCGTTTTCAACAAAAATCGCCTTTGATCGCTTTCTTTTGAGACCAAAATTTTTTCTACTACTTTAAACACCAGTATTTTACATCGCGTTTGAGGGGATAAAAGAAACAAAGGAAAAAAATTCTTTTTTCTCTGAAATATTTTGTCAATTATATGATCTATTGATTTCAAGTGAACGCCTTGCGATTAATCGAACCTTCCATGCAATTGATCGAACCTTATTTTCAATATAACTTAAGAACAAAACTCCACCCATTCAGGATGACGAACTTCAATGTTTAAGCATGCAGTTTTTGATCCTTTAGTAGACAAGGAGGACAGTTAACTATAAAACTTGATTGAATTTCCTGCCAATCCAATTACAAGCTTTTTAGCGACTCAAAGACGTTTTTTTTCGTCTAGAAGTTTCGCGTGTTACCACTGTTGCAGCCGCAATTGGTCAGGTGTTTTAGACCTAAAGCTAGCGATGAAGTAAGAGCTCGTCCTCACACAGTAACATTGCCGTAACAGGGTATCGATTACACGATTTTCGAACGATTTTAAGCAGCCCTTCACGAAACTATGCAAAGTGAAATGAGCATGAATGGTAGCAAACGCCATGGCAGGGAAAACGTCGCAATGAACAAATAATTGTCTCTTGTCTGATTTTTAGGGAACTCTGGGCGTTTCTCATATTCTTCATAGCTTTGCCAATTTCGGCCTGCGTGTGCTGCACTCTTTTCATCGGGGGTATTGTCTACTGTATTTTCAAAGCAGGTACATATGTTCTCTTTTTCACCCCTTTTCTTCTCCTGTGACCGGGTGAGGAGGTTTTCTCGGTGGGAGGAGGTTTTATAGATTATAGAAGAACTTTCCTTGTAACGCTCAATTTTAGAGCAGTTGAAAACGTTTAACAAGTAGAAAATTATATTGGCAGAATATAGAATATAACTACCCTGCTTTTTCTCAATGATTTATTGTTCCGACTTTCGATACGAAAGTAACGGAGTATTTGTGCTCGGGGTGGGTTTTTTTTCTTCAGACAAATTTCGACTTTTTAACTAGCCATTTTTGACGGAATTTCTTTTATCATTCGAAAGCTATTATTGTCTTGAGCTTAAATTTGAAAAAATATTTTACCTGTGATCTTTTTTCGTAAAGCTATGGGGGTTCAAAGATTGTCATTTTGGCCAATTTGGGACAATTAATGCGCGATATATTTCCGTCTTAAAATCGTTTCAAATTAATCCGTCTTAAAATCGTTCCAAATTGGTCGAAAGAAGCTTATTTGCCATAATTGATTTGTTACAAGGAGCTAAATCTATCTTTTTGTACTTTATATGGCGTGTGGGGGCATGATTTTCATAAAAAATTTCAAATTTTAGAAAAAAAACTTTTCATTTTATTTTATTGCAATTAATTTTTTAGGGTTATTACTGCACCATAAAACTTTAAAAGGCAGTCGGAACATTCAGGGCTTCGCCCTGATACGAGCAGTCTTGTTTATTTGATGACTGATACTTTTGTAATATTTTTGTCATTTTATTCCAAAAGCTCTTTGTTTGGAGCCTTGGGGGGAGCAAGCCAATATCTAACCCGTTCAAAAATTGAAATGGCTCAAATGCTGGCTCGGAAACAAGTAAGGAAATAGTTGGTAAATAATTTAAATAAAACAGAGATAAGATATTTTTAAAAATATAGTTAAATTAATGATGTTCTTTTCTATTTCTTTCTTTCAGCGAAAAACGATAATCAAATCGTGAGCCCTGCTTCGGGTGTCTACTACACAAGTGCACACCAGCCGCAGCCTTCCTATGCCAGTCCACCTTCCTACAGTCCCAATCAGATGCAGCCCCCTAAAAACCCCACCCCCCAGCCGGAACCACAACAGCCACAGAGCTCAAGCGAATCTGAGCCTCCTTCTCCTCCCGCTGACTATTCCAATTACCAAAGGAGCCAGGTCAATTTCGGTTTCGTCCAGTCATAAATGAGACAGTTGTCAAAAAAATAGAAGAAGACAAAGACACGGGAAAATCAGAGCGCACAAAAAAGAGCAAAATTTGAGCTGAACGTTCAGAAAACCATTCAACTTCACGTATATCTTAAATGATTACAAAATAATTTTGCTTGAAAAATATCTATGCCGAACGAAATTTAATTGAATCAGATTAAGGGTTAATATCAGATAAAATGATCAAAAATTTATATTGATATAAAGCGTGGTATCGGAAGTTTTCGTCATTAGAAAAAATCTACATGCTATGAATTAAAAGGAATAACTTATAACAAAAATAGTGCGTCAATCGTTGCCGGGCGATTTGGAATAAAAAATGTTTAGGTAATTGTCTTAGTGTTTTTGTCAGACTTCGTACAGTGCTGATTTAAACTAACCGGATAAAACTAACAATATTGGAAAAACGAAGAGAACAAAAATTGCTTAGAGTATTACCAGAATTATTATGGTGAATTTAAATGTTAAATTTGGAACCAAAATTAAAACCCAAAAATGGGTTATTTTGGCTTTTTTAGTTTATCAGAAAATACACTAAGACTAACTAATGTTAAC